GCAAACAAATAGACGGCCTACAACTTTGTTTACACAAACACTTTGGCAAAATGTCGGCCACATTGCGTATACGCCACCGACAACCGTAGCAACCGCACATAGCAGGCAAATGTGGCGCCCTCTGACATACTCACTTTATGGCAACGAAAAGTGGCAGCGGCAGTGGCAAGGGGCAGAGAATGCGGAGACACTTGCCACCGCCATTGTTGTTGCTGCTTGAGTATTTACGGCCTTGGTGGTAAAATGAAACACACTCCAGGCAGTCGGGCAGCATCCACCTACAAACAAACAACTCAGCCCACGATTCGTGACGCGCTTTCAGTTGCGGCTGCATGAGTGGGTTGAGCAGTTCTGGCGAAATACTCGGTTAAGCGAAAAATATATTGTCTAGGTAATTTCATCCAATGAATTTCAATAAAAGACAAGGTTATTTTTATCTCATTAATAATATTCCAAGAAGTAGCGTTTAGTCAACCCTGCACAGCTTGAAATTGATTTCAAATGCTCTTGGTTTAGGTTTCTGTTCAATGTTTTATGTATAATCATAGCTTGAATGATAGTTTTGTGGATAGTTTTGGCCTGAACTCTACAATCCCCCCTTGGAATATGTAAATGTGGCTTACTTACGCCTCACACGCACACTTATGCACGGACAATTGCTGCCAGCCATGAACCATGAGCTCCATGAGCTCCACGAGCACCACAATTCCTCCCCTGGCCATCGTATCGCATGTGTGACAACTCAACTCAAAGGAATTTATAATATGCAGCTAATTTATCATTCCCTTTTCGAGGACCAGCAGAACAAAAAACCAACTAGAAAGTGAGATGAAGCCGTGGCGAACATCTAGATTTTGGCCACCCGGAGGTTTTTGGCTCGAATCGTAAAGAATGAACATTAAAGGAACCTCGACAGTAAAGTGCTGATAATTTGTGGCTCGACCACGGACTAGTTGAGTTATCCCATTTTTAGGACCCGCTGATGATTCGCTCCACCGAGCGACGAGCGTTGTGGTTCATTTTATGGCAAGCCATAATCCTGGCATCCTGGCATTCTGGCAGTGGCATAAAACTGGAAAATGGGTAAACTAAAACCAATAGAAGAAAAACTCATTAAAAGTCACAAGCAAGTCGCTTGTGTTTTGCTTTATAGCCAAGTCGACTAACAACAACAAAAAATGTGTGTGTTTGGCTAATAAAGAAATTTGCATTGCCACTGTCACTGCCACTACCACTGCCACAATTTGAACAAACATGGCGAATGGCAAACCGTAACCCAAAGCAACAGCAACAGAACTATGCAAGCATTCAAAAATGCAGCGCACCGCAAAAATACAATAACTCATTCAAAACCCAATTTGTTTCCGGCCTGTTTCCCCAACAAATTAATTATGATATCAGCATAACAATTTGCATAACCTCAAAATGAAAGCCAGACATGCACGCCCCCTCGTTTTGGCCCGAAACGGAAAAACACAATGGGATGGCTTGGAGAATGGGAACGAGAACGAAAACGAGAAGGGGTTGGCAACTGGAAATCGGGTGTTGTGGGGCGAAGAGGGCCAGTAAATGGAATAAAGCCGGTTTTCCCAAATGCCATATCAGCTCAGCAGATGTATAGGCAAAGATACAATACTCATATAACAACGAGGCGCAACTATAGTCTCCCTTTCCCTGAAGAGGACCATGTTATGTACGACACACTTTCAGCAAGGAGGTTTCTAGAATACCCTTAAAAAATTGTAATATTTATCTAGTATCTGTTAAGCCTATTAGTTTATTTTCTGGACAATAGAAATCCAACAAATTAGTTAATTATAATTAATAATTATTATTAACAACTGTAGGAGATCTCAGACTTAACAACCCCTATCTGTTTGCTTAATTTTTTTACACCCATTTTCAATGTGCCACATTGTGTGTCTCTCTCTCTTTTGGCCTGATGAAATTGCATAATCGCTTCCAGTTGTTGCACAATTATTGAAATGTATACAGGAGTATGACCCTTTGGGGCAGACGAAGATCCTGCCACCGAGTCGAGCAACGAGGCGTAAAATTCAGTCGACGAGCGATGCAAACGCATGGCGAACGAAATGCCATTCAGCAGAGGTCCTGATGCCAGGACCAGTAGTCTAACCAAGGGCCGGGCCAGCAACAGTGTCGAAAACGGCCGCCAAAGGGATATCCAAAAATTTATAGATGACAACAGGATAATTGTTGACTCAAAAAACACCTAATTGTCCGGAAAGCTTTGTCAAAAATTATTTTTTTGTGAGCATTTCAGCGGCGTTGAAAAAAAAAATTCTCTTGAGAGTAGCAATTCAGTTAAAGAATAATCTAAAATATGAAAGAAACTATTATTCCGGATGTTGAAAAAAGTGGAAATCTCATTTCATGACCAGAAAAATAATGAAAAAAAGAAGGGCTAACATTGACAAGCCAAAGACAGAGCCCATTGGAGCAGGGGAGTGCATAGATGGCACAAAAAGGCAAACCTGTCAATTGCAGTTAGCCCTTCAAGGGTCCCGGCCAGACAGACCAACGGGAGTAGATGGTGCAAGAACACGAACATGAACACAGGAACAGGAACAAGAGCAAGGACGATAACAGAGCCACATAAGAGCAGGAGCAAGAAAATGGAAGCCAACTCAGTGTGCAACCGCTCCTGGAAGGACACTGCGACCGTTTTCACATGCAACTTCCGTTTCCGATTTGCCTTTGTGCCGTTTTCTCCATTTTTTCGACAGTTCGAGATGTGTAGTGCACTGTAAAAAACTAATTATAGGTGGGAATAGATTAGACATTATTCTAAGGATATCATAACCTAATAAGGCTTTTTCTCGTTCTTAATACTTTTTGCTAACATCACTGAAAAACGAAGCTATTTCTTCAAATGCAACACTTAGCCTGAGGGCCTGGACCTTGGTAGTATTGCACGGCCTGTTGGGGACATGGCCGTTGATTGGTACAACCAGGGACGACTGAAGCCAGATGTGGTGCGGGTGTCGGTTGTCCCGACTACAGGGCCAGCACAAAGCCAGGCCCAGACCCTTGCCAGGACTCACCTATGGCTCAGCTTTTGTCATTGGCAAGCTGGCCCGGTCGAGGTGTGCCCCGTTCTGTGTCTGGTATAGGAACTACACATGTTTCTCTGCCATTGCCGCTAACCAATTGTATGTTCTGTAGCAGAGCCCTCTCCGGGATTTGTGGGTGTTGGCAGTGGTAAGGGCTCGCAATTTAAATTGCAATTTAATGGAAGTTAAGCTCAGCTTAATCACTCCAAAGAAACAGAATCCCATATTCGTTTACCCCTTTTTATGCAAAAGCATTCAAAGGAGAGAAAAAAAGTACACTTCTAGAATAAGTTTAATACCTTTTCAAACTTACATATTTAAGCAAGAGTTGCCTTGGTTACCTTTTCTACTTCACTGTCTAACATTACCTTTGCTAATACCAATTAGTGCTTACCCTCCACGGTTTGGAAATTTTATTCAATTATCCTTACTCCGGCATTTCCAGAGGGGTTGCATTGTGTCGCATCAAATAAAAGTCGCCTGCACTTTTATACAAATTACTTCTGCCAGGGCAGCAACACAGCAACTACAACTAAAGTGTCAAAGTAAGACCAACAAGGAGCTAAACAAAACCAAAAACTTAATAAATCCCACTCAGCGAGTAAGTCGACTGGTTGGCTGATTACTAAGCTAAAGCCAAGTGAAAGTCGGGAAAAGCTTAAGGAAAAACTAAAGAAATGTTGTACGAATAAGATATACTCTTTGAATAGATGGCGATAAACAAAGAATACATCAAATTTGATCAAATAAAATGTAGCTGCCAAAATATGGCAACAAATTAAAAAAAAAAAAAGTATTCTATAGATCCTCTAATTGACAGAGCATTTATTCCAGCAGTTTATGACAAAAAACTGTAAAAGAAAATGGAAATGGAAAAAATAAAGCCCCTGGCGCAACATTATCCGAACCAGTTTTTTCCCTTTTACATTCGCAATTTGTATTGTCAGCTGTTGCTTTTGTAGGATAAAATTTTTTATATTTTTCCATACCACCAACACGAAGCACAAAAAAAAAACGTCAAATCGCGACAAATGCGACAGGATGTACAGGACACTAATGAACTGTCGCAAGGGAAAACAAGTGAAACAAAAAGTGCCATTCCAACTCAAATTCTAATCAATTTCTCTGGAGCTACGGAAATTCATAATGAAACCTGAGTGCCTGAGTCAGCAATTCGAAGTTTGAACATTTTTAATTAAATTTAAATTCATCTTAGAGTGCTGTGGACTTCGAACCCATCAAGAAACATAAACACAAGCCCAGATAGGCGGCTATCTCGGAATTTCATTTGAAAAGAAATAAAAAGCTGGCGAAAAATGAAGAAATAAAGGCTTGGACGACCAGAACTTCTGACGAGTTTCCCTAGAAAACGGAATTCAAAGCAACACCCACAAAGTCATTTACAATTGCAGTCAAAAATTCTAAATTATATACAAATTTAATGACAATCCAAATAAAAAATTATATAAAAAAATTTAAATAATTATTTTTAATGAGGTTTTTTTTATATTTTCTTACCAAAACAGATCCTATCCTAGTATCTTGACCTCAACTGTCTATTTGGGCTTCCAGATGAAGTAGAAGTATATGGAAAGTCGCTGGAGGATTGAGGGCAGCACCGGATGTCGACGGGAGATTGGCGCACAAATGAGTGGCGCAGCCCAGAAACCAGCGAGGAAATGCACAAAAACTTAACCTAATGAACATTAAGATAATGCAACAACATCAACAAAAGTCCTGGTAAGAGCAACCCCGGGTCTCAAGTCCCGGGTCCGGTGTACCGCCTCCCTCGCACAATTCTGCATTCGACCTCAGCCGCAAAACTTTTCCTTACAACAACCTCAAGAAGGACAACCAACAGGAACAGTGTCACAAAATAGGGATTTCAAAACCCAAATTTATTTTACATTACAGCTTGAATATTTATTAGGATAGGGTGCCGTAAACATTAACATGAGCTCTGGCAATTCCATAGGCATACCAAACACTAAAGAATCCATAACTGCCAGGAGGAAATGGCAAGACTTTAGTGAGCTTATCCCTTACACTAGATGCAGGAGCTTTTTCAACGAATACATCATGCTGAAAGTAGTTACTAAATAAATTTACCTAATTTTCTTAACCAAAGACCACTTACAGCGTAGGGACAGGTGTGATTCATGTTTGAATATGATTCGAAAAGCTCAAAAATAAATGCAGCCACAGGGTTTATCTTCCGATTTTTTAAAAACTTGCAAGCATCGATGGTAACATTGTACAAGAATGGCTTGAAACCATTAAGGCGTTTGTAAATCGCAAAGTTTAACTAAAATAAATACTTTATAAAATGGCCTTTATATCGCGTGTAATACTTACTTTTATTTTCGTAATAGGAACTTTATGCAATTTAACTTTCAGCGATCCATATTTGTATGTTCGATTTACGGACTTAAGATAACAATATTCAAATGATGCGAATGATTCGTCCAGAGATTCGCAAACTGCGTTTCTAAATTCAAATTCTGCGTTTATCTTTTAAATTAACATATACGAAAATAATTAAAAGAGGAAAATGTTTTTTTTTAAGAAGAATTTTATAAACAACTTACATGACTTTTCAGGCAACCTGCTGCCAAAAACGTTAGGAGCACAAAGGAATACATTTAACCAGTGCGGATGTTACTTCTAAAATAATAATATTTTTACTGACATATCCGATCCAAATACATACATATGTCATTAGCATATGAAATAATAACACCACCAGACAATGTTTTATTTATAATTATAAGCGAAACGAATTAAAGTTAAATTTAAACATCATTAGAGCTTTAATTGCTTTTTGGTAAAAAATTAAATTATTTTTTTTCCCAAAAAAGTGAATAGGTGGTATTTTATTAATACTCGCATATTAATTTTGTTCGGTTTACCGATTTTCTGAACAATTAGCATTACGATAGTGTGCCATATACGTTGACTTGTGCTCGTGCGACATCATAGGCATACCAAACACTATAGAATCCATAACTTCCCTCGGGAAATGGCAACGCAAAAGTCATTTTATCGTTTAGATGAGATGCGGGAGCCTTTTCCACATAGACGTCATTCTAAACGAATTTTTTGAATCATTTTCAGGTTTTTTCATTCCTAAGAAAACTTACATTATAGGGACATCCATGATTCATGTTTGAATATGTCACGAATAGATCCATAAGAAATGAGGCCACTGGATTTATTTTTCGATTTTTCATAAACTTGCTGGCATCAAAAGTAACGTTGTATAGAAATGGCTTGTAGCCATTTAAACGTTTATAAATGGCAAAGTTTATCTGAAATAAATATTGTGTATTACTGTCTTTACCTGTATAGAGTACTTACTTTAATTTTCTCAACTGGTACTTTGTGCAATTTAACTTTTAGCGATGCATATTTGTAGGTTCGATTTACGGACTTCAGGTAGCAATAATCAATGGAAGCAAATTGTTCGTCAAGGGAATCGCATATTATGTTTGTAAACTCAAAGTCTGAAAAAGTCTTGAAATGCGATTTTCAGTAATAGATTCTTTTCTATATATTATGTAAAACTTACTTGTTTAATAACACAGACAGCCAATAAAACCTTGAAAAGCTTTAGCGCGTCCATTTGAACAGCTCGGGGACGTATATTGAAATAATATAATCATTACTACCAGATTTGGAATTATGTGATCATATTGTCATTAAGGCTTCAATATGATTACCATTATCCATTAAGAGATACTGCTTGTAATCAAATTATATTTTAAAATATTATAGAAGACTTCATAATTTATTTCTCTATTGGAACCACAGTGCGAGCACTGCCTTGGCCCAAACGCATTGGGCAAAAAGTCGAAGTGAAGTTGCGTTTGCCATTTGCCAGTTTGCATTCAGCATAAAGTTTTTAGCTTATGTTGTGATTTTTATGTCCGAGGAGCGCAGGGAACTAAGGGAGCTAGTTAGCCCAGTGCCCTAGCTAGAAAATGAAGATAAGTTTTATGTGGCGCGGAAATTAAGAACTTTGTTTATAGCCCTGGCCAATGCATGTCCGTTTGCTGATGTGGCAACAAACATATGGCAAGGACCCCAAAGGAGCGGAGCGACTCTATAGATTGAACGAGGAGACAAATTACTTTCGCTCGGGTGTTAATGACCTAAGGATTCCCGCCAATGGGGCGCCTTTTGAAATGTGTTATTAAACGTATTAAGAATTCATTAGTTCGAAGCGGAAAGGTACTCGAATTTTGAAGACAATGCCCCAGGACGGGCCTGTGTCAATGGCCGTTGCTTAAATATGCATTAATTTTATACAGATGGCATTAACTTTGACTTTTGGGCTGGCAAGTGGAGGCCAAACTAATGCTATCAGGGCCATGGATTTTCCAAAAAGCCATTAACAAAGACTGAATATTACTTTGATTGCAAAACAAAGGCAGTGCCTCCCAAGTGGGGGGATAAATTGAAATTAATTGAATATTGCACGTGGAATAGCTGCTTTATTAAATTATATTTAATATTATTTTGTGTGAAATATGATACTTATTGAACTTGGCTTTTATATTTTTAGTTTCTTCTTTGTAAGTCTCTGCCAAATCTCAAAGTTCACAGGCTCAGAGAAACTTCAACTACTAGTCTCAATTGGTTTTCAAGATGTCGCTTAATTAACTCACAATTGCAGTTGGGGAGCTGGAAAATGAAAGAAAAGAAAGTGCTATGAAGAGGCAGGAAGAAATCAGGACAAATGGCAAGGACAAACCACGGCTAAGGCCATATAAATGTCGTGGGGGAACTTTCAGTAATTAATTATCCGCAAAGTTTTCAATTACAGGCCAATTAAGCCGGGCGTGCGTGAAGTACAGTAGAGACATAAATTAAGGAACTTTTTCATAAACGGCTGAGGGATTTATATAAAAAATTTGGAGAAGTACTCTTTCCAAAAAAGAAACAAGTGTGAAGTTTAAAACTTTAGTCTTTTATAGTAACTGGAAAGTCATCTACTATTTATGGTAACCACTCTGCTGCTTGTGGCACGTACGGGGGCATTAAATGACATTTTATTGAGCAGCTTCGACAGTGGTTCCAGCTCCCGTACCTTTCACCGGACTTGCCCCATCGCAGTTCACCGCCCACCATACACCGCCCATCCGAACCATCAGTTTACCTTTTTGATAGAGTTGTCAACTGTCAGGCGGAACGAATCGTTGTGGCGATGACACGTTTTGCCAACGCATCATGCAACCTTGATGATGCCGAAATGAATGCGTCCTGCCATAACGGAAATCGAACAAAGGCCACCCACCACCGCCCACTGGAAAAACAAGAGGCGGGCTAGCAATACTGGGCTAGAAACATTCGCAAATGGCTGACAAATATGGCGCCGAGGCACCAACAATGGAAACTGTTTGTAAAATTTTCAGACAATCCAATAGTTTCTGGCTGAAAGGGGCAAGGGGAAAATACTTCGACAAGTGCGAAAGGATATTGGTTTTTGGGCAAAGCGGTTTATTGACATTTTCAATACGCTCATAGCACTTAATTAAGGTGTAATTTTCAATATCGAACATTACAGGTCCCCTGGGGGACCGACCAGGCCTAGTTCTCCCAGAGGGTACTGAAATTTTCCTGTCACGTATACATTTTCGAATTGAAACTTTCCTAAAAAGAGCATACACAGTTGGATTTTTATTTAAACTATTCCCCGAACTAAACTGTGGAATTTCCCATTCATAATTGGTCACTTGTCCTAGTCCCCTCATTACTAAATTGGCCTACGAAACGGGAGCAATGACTTTCGATTATTAGGACGTAGTTAACCAGATGGGAAACAACTACAGGACTACTTGTAGAAAATTGATTGTTGATCCACACCAAACAATACATAACAATGACCCCAAACGAAAAGAAAAATGACAAATTGAATTCACTTATATCACATACACCCACTCACCCGAGTCATGGAGTCAATCGTGTATTAAATTATTCAAAACAAATTGACAAATGCCTGTCGGGGTTAAATTATTTTCAGAACAATTAAGTGGAAAACTAACTATCGGGCAATGTAAATGATTTCATGCTTGACTTTTAATAGAACGCTGACCAGGGAAAGGGCTATTTCCAGCGCTTTGCATTATTTATGACAGCCGAGCCAGGCCAACACATGCCGGCCACTGAGGCCAAAAAGACACGCAAGCCTCGTACTTTGTTGCCCTTTTGTGGTTTGTGTTATAGAGATAGAAGGTTACACGCTCAAAAAGGAAAAATATTTATATATTGAACCTAAATAATACTTAATATTTAAAAAGCTTAAATTTCTTTAACAAATTCTCGCTTGTCTGAAAAGAAGCCACGTGGAGGTCGCAAAAGTCCTTCCTGTATTAGAAGTGGTATTTGCCATTAAACTCCCTGGCTCAGCACATTTTGATTTAACTAAAATTAAAATCAGCTGCATTGAAGCTCCTTCACACTTTCGCTCTGGCTGTCACTTAGAGCATGTCCTTGCCGACTAAGTGACCGTTTCCCACACATGTCGGTTTATATTATCCAAACGCATTTATCTCACATTGGCAATTGGATTTGTAATGTGACTAAAGCCAGACAAAACGACAGGATAACAAAGCAATGGCAATGGTCATTGAAAAGGACAATTGTGTGTGCGAGACGTGCATTTCCAAGCTGACGAACTGCTGACCTGACCATGGGTCATTCTTCTTTTTTCTCCATTTTCCTTTCTTTTTTTGACGAGCGAGGTTAAGTTGGGGGAAGATTATCGAAAGGTTTGAAAAACGTTTTAATGGAATTGCCTGACTTGTCACTGATCTGTCGTTTAATTTATTTCAAAAGGTTTGATGAAATGTTAGTCCTTGCTCTTATTTCTTTGTGAAGTTTAAAGTAAACTAAAAAGTATTCACATCCACTCGATACATTTTCCAATAACATTGTGTTGAACTGTCTTATCTACTCTAAATAGATTTCATTCTGTTCTATCCCCCTAACCTAAGATTTATGGTGTGGCCTAAGGACTCGCACATCCTCACAAAACGAAAGTGTATGTATCAATGCCTGCCAGTGGAACTAGTACACATCATTACCATTACCATTCCCAGACTAAACGCACTAGTCCAGGAAAGACACGGACTAGAACCGAAATCGTAGAATTGCGTCGACGACGAAGGTAACAGCAACACTTTCGATTCGCGGCAAGGACAATGCTCACTCTCCCGGCTAAGGATGTAGTCAGTGCTGCCAACGTTTTAATGGGAATAGCTTTTAAAGACCTATAATTTATAATATGTTTTAAAGAAATTTTCGTTGTAACAATATGACTTTTGTTATATATTAGATTTACAATATTGTTACTTTATATCCTATCTAGTCATCACTACTGACCAGAATCATGAGCACTCAGTTATATTGTCCGACTGACTGAGTGACGCACTGACACTGCCGAACCGCACCCAAAGTGCTTGCCCTGGCAAGTGCATAGATAACAAACGAGTGCAAGGATAACGAGGATACACGGCAAGGACTACGTCTGCCGCAACTACAACTGCAATTCCGACTACGCCTGCAGAACTACGGAAGTAACGCGAAAATGGCGCAACAGTAAAAGCAAAGGAAGACAGTGAAATATTGAAATACAATTGGTTTAGGATACACTCACCCGCCACCCACCCATCACCTTTTCCACTCCACTTCCCGGCGATGGCCAGCCAGCAGGATGGCACTTGAAGATGGCGCTGAAGGATATGGGATTAAGTGGGCTTGAGCCTCGTTTAAACTTTTGCCGCTTGATTTAAATGGGCTGCATCAAATATTGAATAATTTGCTCAAACGTGTGACTATCCAAAATAATGTAATTTTTCAGAAAAAGTAGTTTTTCTTTTCTAAAAAATAGGATAGATCTTAATGAAAGCAAGATATAAATATAAGGAGTTCTTCTGGAGTACATTGTATTCGAATTTCATTTTAAGGAGCCATTAAAATATAATTATTTTCTAATATAGTGTCTTGGTAGTACTATTTATAGTCCCTTTATTTTTTCCCAGTGCCAGTTCAAGAATGAAAATCTGTATAGTCAGCAGGTAGCCATCCCCTTGAGGTACTTTACTCGCGACCTCGATCTCGTCTAAGGTAGTTAAATTGCGCGTCAGTGTCAGCGGCAGAATTGAAATCCTTTTCCTTCACAGGCACTCTGAGCCCTTTCCGCCAAACCCCTGTTCCTCTCCCCACGGCCGCCACCCCTTTACTGGTGGTCCAGCGTCAATCACGAAACGCTTTCCCCGCATTGAGTGGGACACGTTCTCATGGAACTATCCCAGCTGCGCCGAAAAGTTTCCCACAAACAAGGCGACACATGACACGTACTCGACTTGACTTAAATCTCCAACTTCCAGCTTCCCCGGTTTCGGCTCGACTCGGCCCACTCTACCAGCTCCTCTGTTACGGGGATTATTTTTAGTTTTTGTCACTGTTTTAAAGTTGAAAGCTCTTTTGTGGCATATTTGCATATTAAGTGGCATGCGTTGGGGGCGGAATGGTGGCTGTTGTTGTTAGTTTTCGGCGAGGCTTAAGCTAGAGCCAAAAACAAACCCCGCCGAGTTGAAAATTTCAAAAATCAGTGCTGTCAGTGCGAGATTTACCTTTCCAGCGATTGTGGGTTTCCCGCCTTCCTCGTAAGCCCGACAAGCTGATAAGTTAAATTAGCATAGATTGATGAAAGCATTTTGGGGTTTGTTGCAGATTTGTTTACCATCTACACATTTCAAAGTCTAACAAGGAATATAGTCTGAAAGGATACATATATTATTTAGGAATTCGTAGACTTTATTGTGGTTGTGTAGCATGGAAATCCATCATAACTAATGGCTAAGTAATACTTTCAATAGGAGCAGCTATAAGATTTCCGAATTTCGGAACCTTATCTTGTTTTACTTTTAAAATCATTAAAAAAAAATATGATCCCAGACTTATCACTTGTCAATTGGCATTAGAAGTTCGATTGATTTTCGGCCAGGTCATGAGAAGCACTTCCGTGGGCGTAGAGCATCCGTTGACCACACCCGCAACACATGCACTAACTGTGACCCGGTAGAAGGAGGACTCATCCAGGTGGGTCATGTAATAGGAGTGCTTATTGCCGGACAACTCGGTGCCCTCCAATATCTCCTCAAGCACGCACTTCTCCTCCACCTGCTGTCCGACGGAGGCATGCGAATCCTGGCACTTGGGCATGGCATGGCGCAGATTATATTGTTCCTTGCCCTCGTCCTGAGCCATTCTCTGACCCAACTCCGAATCCAGGCGGAACTTTTCATAGTTTTCAGCGGCCTTCCGATCATTTTCCAGAGACTCGTTGGTAGGCGCTGGAGTGGTTGTCTTGGGTCGGGGGGGTTCCTCTTTCTTGGTCCTTAAAAGGTGCTCGTAGTCAATGACTTTATCAAATTCCTTCTTCACTCTATTCAGTTGGCTGCGTCTTAAATTGGAAAAAAAAAGTTAGTTCTATTATTAGATCTCTAACGTTTCAACTTACGAAACAAATATGAGATTGGGAAGTGCATCTTCATATGCTATTTGATCCTTGTTGTAGTAGTCCTCGTCATCTGCCTGGGGTCCCGAGTAATAGGGCTCATCCTCTACGCACTGGCAGTCCAATTGAGTAAAGTTCTGAGGCAATGAGTTGTCATAGTTTTTAGCTTGTTCTTCAGTTAGATTCTGCTTTTCGTAGGTTACTATGTATTTGGTGATGATGCCATTCGGACGCAGTGGTGGCCACCAGTGAAGAAGCTTCAACGAAATTATAAATAAACTTTATAAGATAAGCTTTATAAAGCTGAAACCTTAACTCACAATTTCCGAACTCAGCTCAGAACGGCCACGTAACCTCATCACCGGACTAGGCCTGTCGGGCAGCGTTTGAAAGTATCCGATCTTGGAGTACGCATCCAGTTGCATATGGTAGTCCGTTCGAGTCAGGGTCTTCACAAAGTAGGCATACTGAGTGTACGGCTTCAGTCCACCAATTACATGCCGGCGACTCTGAGTAATCACAACGTTCATAAGCCAACTATTGGAGAATCCAAACTATAAATGAGCACCGAGATTAGAATCATTCGAAACCCACTTATCGTGACCGCATCCGTGCCGACCGTCGTACATAGTCACGTTCTGCTGTGGGGCTTCTTTGTAAAAATAGGAATATCCCATTAGGGTCTCCATGCCATCCCAGTCCATGTAATCGAGGAGAATGCGCACTGCGGTAGAATTCACATCATCCACAGTTGCATTTAGGGACCGCACTCCCGCGCCACAAATCACCCGTTCGCCATTCGAATTGGGCGAAACATCGACCACGGATACCTTCTGGACACTCTTCAGCGAGGGCGCCAATGCCATTATTTTTTCATAGCAAAGCCGGGGATTCAGGTGGAAATACATCGAGCCGCTCTGCACCACAACCTGATGATTGTTTGGCCAGAGGTGTTCCAGGTGATGATTGTTCACAACATAGAGGGCGTATCTGGAATTCATTTGGGCGTTATTATAGCTTTGTTTATAAGTGGACTGGTTAACTCACTTATTTTCCACCAGCCTTGTTCCTTTTATGAAATCTAGGTTTTTCAAAAAGGTCAACGAAGTCAGGTGACCAGAGTGGACAACCTTTAGGTAGCCTGTGATTTCCTTGACATTCATCAATGCCACCTCTAATGCTTCTACTATTTTCTCTGAAAGTTTATCAAGTTAACTAAATATAAGGGGGTAACTTTTGTGGTCTAACCTTTTATATTTGTCAGCTCGATGGTCAATGATCCATTTATTTTCACACAGTCTTGTAGTGACTCCAAGTCCGCAGCTACCTTAACATGGAAGTCCCCACTGCAGTCTACCTGACAGTGTAGAATGCCCTTGGCGTCGAGGACTTTCTTTTGATTTCCAGGACACTTTTCGACACATCTATATCCTTGGGTCAGGGGAATTCGTCCCAAGTCCCTGCACTGCTTGGTGGTGATGCACTGTCTCTTGTGTATTTCGTAGCTGGCCAGGCACTGGTTGACGCACCCAATCCTGCTCTTAAAGTTACCGCAGAGAGTACAATTCTGGGCGTAGCACCCGGTGACACAGTTTCGATCACAGCACTTTCCGGCACTATCACAGCCGTTGTTCCCGCAGGCCACAGGACAGTTCCGAAGGCGAGGCGGCTGAGGGCGAAGCTGGGCAGCCTTCAGGTTCCAACAAAAATCCGAAGTGTTTTGATTGATTCCGTAGTCTGGGGACAAGCTCCCACATATGGGACAGTGACTGGGTGGGGTATTGTGCTGCGAAAAGAAACAAAGACTAGAGGCGTTGCTGCCAGCTTCAGGTCTTGTCTCACCTTGAGGTAATAATGCTGCTGCGTTGCATTCCCCAGCAGGTATAGCCAGTCCACAGTCTCGACGAAGCACAGCCTGGGGTTCGATTCGATGCGAATGGAGCCCTTTTGAATGCGCAACATCTCCACCAGACCCAGCTCCCGCAGATTTCGGTTCTCATAGACCACAAACGAGAACTCATCGAAGAGCAGGGCCTGACCCCGAATGATGCGCAAGCGGGGGAATATTGATTCGAGGGTCAGCAGTCCAGGGCATCGGAATACCATTAAATAATCACTGATTTCACTGATATTGCTCGCTAATGATATCAGACTGAGGTTCAGCGCCGTGAAGTCTACATACGCGATCCGAACGTGCCCCACCACGTGGGTGCAGTTCTCCAGCTTCTTAAAGTCCCGGATTTCATTGATCTCCAGCGATCCGCAAGCCGGTTCCTTTTCGGATCTGACCAAAAGGGGGCACAGAGCTAGCGTCAGAGACAGAAACAGCAGGGGGCCCAGATGCCCCATGCTGCCACCTGACTCTTCCAATTGAGAGCACTTGACCCGGGACGTAAGGGGGTTTTCCGATCAATTAGCGCCCGCTTGAATGTCAATGTCGTTTCTTTTTCTTCGTAGATTTTCTCGCCCGATCTCTCTCTTTTATTAGTTTCTGTATATATTCTATATATTTAATGTTTTTCCGTTCTTGAACGCGATGCTTCCCCGAAGACGATTCGATTTCGACTGATGGCAGTAGCGCCCTGCCCTATCTCTTCGGGTTCGATCTCTTCAATTAGCCCCTTTAGTTTTTTTCATTTTTGTTTTCATTGTTATTTCATTTTATGCTCTCGTCTTCGCCTACACCAGCAAAAAAATTTCAAAACTTTTTTGTTTATTTTCCAGTAAACAAAATAAATCTGTGGCGAACTTCAAAATTCAATAAACAAAAAATTTCAAATACATATGTGCACCCATATTACCTCAGAAAAAAAGCTAAAAATATTCAATTTATTTTTGAAATTTTTTAGTTTTTTAAGAATATTATAAATCAAATCCTTTCTGTTTTAAACGGTGCATCATAAAAAAGGGAATTTTAATTGTTTATCTCAATAAAAGTTAACATTAAAGCAAGTTATAACGATTATTGATACAAAATGTGCTGCATATTTTTAATTAAAAGCTTTTCCTAAAGGGTTATTGTTTATAGACCTTGCCGCTACCCTTTCATAACCATTAACTAGAATGAAAAATATATAAAAAATAGTTTGTAAACTTTTTGATATCGTCAGGCATCTATTTTTATAGTTATTTTTAGAACCCCTCTTGACCATATCTAATAGACACCACTGTTTCTTCCCACCATCTAGTTGGGGCGATCATTTCACGCATCTGTTACCATTCACGTTTTTTCTCCCTGCGGCTGCTGCTTCCTTTTTGCCGGCAGTCGAAAACACTTGTTACTTCACCGCATCCCCAACTGCCACATCTGCCCCGCCCACCATTCCCCGCCCCCTGGACGACCTTGCTGCATATACAGCATAAAACCGAACCGGTTCAGACGTCCCGAACGTTGCTTTTTACCCTTTTTTTCCCCCCAAAGCGGCAAAGCGCATGTTTTGTTTTTGCCTCCGCCATGGCTGATAAAGCAAATGCGATGCTGAGCAGAAATTAAATTGCACCGGCGAACAATTCAATTAGAGCGAAGGCAAAAACAGCAAAAAGCTTTGAAAAGAGTGTACGCAACAAAAAATCGCTGAAAACCAAAGCTGAAGCTCTGGCAAACCCAATTGAGAGCCGGGTGAGCTGTGAACGGAGCACAATTGACAGTTCATTAAAGTGCAAGTAACGCTTACGAGGCCCCATAGAAGTTTGTGGCAGGAGCAGCGGGCACACACTGTAGCAATTAAAAAATTAAATAATATATTCAAGTGTTTGATTACGCAATAACCTAATACTTTCAAAACATTTAAACAAACTAATTTAATCTCTGTCTTTAATGTCAGACAATTTATATTTTTTATTACAATTTTTAATGAGCAAAATAAACCATTTTTATTGCTGGCTTCTAATAATTAACTGATAACAAAAATTATAATTCATAGAATGAATTAAAAATGAAATATATGCTCCAATTATAATTTTAAATCGTATTGTATTATAATACAATTATTTCTATGCTTCATAGAGTTTATTGAGCAAAAAATGTAGAGAGAAAAATTTTTAAAAATACAAACTAGATCAACCAAAAAATAGAAACCATGAACGTGTTAAAAAGCCACAAAGGTGCAACTATCTAGGCATATTTTTTGTTTACCTGTGGCTTTTTTCCCCTCAACTGAGAATCAATTTTCGCAGTAATTTGTCGAGCCTGAAATGACGTACAGCGCGCGGAATTTAATGCAGCATACTTCCCGGTGGCACGTCAAACTATGAACACCAACGCACACACCAACTACACCAATAACCAGTGCCGCCAATTATTGAATATGCCACAAGGCAGTAGCATCAGAGGAGGCCTTACAGAGGCGGCTGGAAAGGCGGTCGCTATGGATGCGAACTATTTGGAAAAAAAATCCTATTTATTATGGAAAGATTTTATTAAATTTTTAGGGAGTTTTTTGGCCTCTTATTCTATCTAAATTGGTCCGATTTATTTAAGCCGTGCCATACTTTAATAGTTTTAGTTAAATACTTATTTTAGGTATGCTCCAGTAAGTAGTGGGCATCACTGAGCCGCGGAATACACACGGGAGTTGGAAAATGGCGAGGAAACGGAGGACACCAGCCCCGGGAGTATCGGAGGCGGCAAACACGTAACGCCATTTTGCGGTGCGTGATGGGAATCCGTAGCAGAAACGTGTGCATATGCCTACCCACAGCAAGGTGTGGGATATAGAGAGGGCCGATGCGGAAAAGCTGAAAAAGCAGGAAACTTGGACCACTCGTGGAGCGGACATAAGGCGTCCGGCGAGAAGTCAAAGGCCCACGCACGTCGCTGCATTTAAGTGCCAAATTAGGACGAGGCCAGGACCAAGCAGGAAGCCAAGGATGCCCTGCACATGGCCCGGTATGGCTCTGTGGCCATAAATCAAACGGTCGATGCAATTTATGGCATTGCCAATTCAATGAGCCGCTGCTGATGCTGTCTCATCATGACCGGTTATTATTATTACGAGTATTATTATGGCTGTCATTAGAGGCAAGAGAATTAATTAAGTTTGCTGAAAAATGCAGCCCTGCAGCAGACAGTTCCTTTGGCGGCAGCTGTTTCCTTGGGCCTTGTTCGTCTTCTACTTGCTCTGGAGCGCCCTGATGCCAGTTGGGATGCAGTCTGATTGATGTGGCACCTCGCACCAGATGACGGCCAGTCTCTGCCCCAAGGCTGATGCAATTTGACACATGACAGAGCACGTTGCTGGCCGAGTTAAACATGGCCAACAGCTGGACGATCTGAGGCAGCTTTCCCAAAAACATTTATTTAAGATTTCCTGAAAATAACAATCAATAGATTCCCACCACACCTATGTATATAGTCTGATGCCAAGAGGATTTCAATCACACATACTTTAACTTGATTGATTTTAAGCAGATTTCAATTAAACATTTTCAAGAAGTCTCTTAAAAATGGAAATATTTCGGCCAAAGCCATTCCGGCTTAATGGTCCTCGAATCAAAAAGTTTTTAATGGCCAATACAGCAATTAGTTATAACAATTAAAGTGGAATTTATATGAACTTTTCAACTCACTTTTTTCCCACTAGTTTCGGCTTTGTCGGGGCGCGCCAATAAGTGCTAGTTTTGACTATTAAGAAAGTCGTTTTTTCCTTCCTCTTGTAAAAAGTTTAAAAGAATATGAAAAGAAAAGTCGAGCTAAGAAAAATAATAATTTCAAGAAGGAGATCCAGTGGAGAAGGCTTCAAGTTTATCTAATTGGAAAGAAGTTGTGAAAGTTTAATTTGACTTTCAGGCCGGCAAACATTTTATTACAAATCAAAGTTATCATTTCTCGGAATTTATAGACCGATTTGCAAACATCATCAAAGGCAAGAATTAATAAATAAAAGAGTTTCCTTAAAAACCATTAAAAACTTGGTGTTTTCTTTTCAAAATAATAATTATCTCTTCAGCAATTTGATTTGAATTTCGCATTCGTTTCAAGAAATCTGCATTGACATTATGCCATGCCACCTGGCTGTCTGAGTGGCATCTGCTAAAAAGCGTTGCATTTCTTTATGGCTCACCACATAAAACCAAAAGGTTGACTGCCAGATAGGAGGGCGGAAAGTGCCCTTAGTTACAGGGATATGGGCAACCTTTATGGCACTTGCATTACGCATACGCCCTGTCATCGCGGGCATCTCCTAGTTTATGCTAAAGACGCAGTCGACATTTCCCCGCTGGCATTTCTGCCAGCATTTTTATTTCAATATCCGTATAACCCATTCCATGGCCTGCCATCCTGGCCCTGGCCCTTCGTTTTATGCGATCCTTTCATGCAATGCAAATCGTTGGAAAAATAGTTTTCCTTTTTTTTGTGCACATTCTTGCGAAAATCTTCCCCTGCATGTGTGTGCATTTCTCCCTTTGTTGCTTAAGTATATAATTTATGTATTCTTGAATGCACATATATACATGTGTGCGAGAGTGGGCGTGCCTGGGCGTGGGAGGGCCACAACAATTTGCATACGTGCGGGCCACTCTCAGGTGAAAGCATTCTTTCTATTAGCCACACATAAAGCTTAATTTATTGGCGCTGGCAGTCTGGAATTTACACCGACGCTGTGGTCAGGAAGTTGCAATCATTTTTTAAGCCCTTAGTCCTTTCTTTGGGCCACAAAAATTTGGTTATCAAAGAAAATTAATAATGGACCCATTCCATAAAAAAGGACCATAAAGGGTATGGTGGGTGTGGTGACTCTGAGGAATTTTCACTTTTGCGTGCGATTACGGAATTTTGTGTTAAATAATGAGTGAAAAATATTTCAAAAGCCAAAAAGCTTAACCAGCCAGAAAATCCCCCATATCCTTGCCCAAACGGTCTTTAAGCCATTATTAAATTTGAAGCTTGAGCGCAGTAAGCCAGCCAGCCAGATGCCAGACTTGATGTGTTGATGGCAAAATTAATTGCATATCTGATGGCGTTTGGGCTAGGACTCCAAATCCGATCTTTGGCCGATTGCTGAGACGCGTCTGACACGCTCATTTGGCATTTGCCATCGGCTTTGTTTTCGATTTCAAATGCCATCGAAGTGGGCCTGGGCAGTGGGGCGGGCCGAGCTGCTAAATGCTTGGAAACGGATTGTCGGATTGCCGGAAAACGATAGCACTGCAATCCAAATGGGGTTGAAACTACGGGCGAACGGTTCAATTGAGCTGCATCCTTCACAGCAAGGAGCTTTGCATTTTAAAGGGGGCCTGTACATGGCCAGAATTGGATTTCAGACATTCAGCACTAGATGCAGATTGAACATTAAGGTAAATTCACAATTAAGGAAATCGTTTGTACATGAAGAAAGGCAGCCAAGATGGCATACAATTTTAGGCAGGAAAGCATTTAAACATAAGGTAGTGCCATTGCTTTAGTTTCTTGTCGATTTATTTAGTACATTTGTTTGAATTCACTTTTTTCTTCTGTACCAGCCATCGCCTAAGCCTAATCTTGGCCAGGAGTCATGCCTCGAATGCTGCCATGGCGAGATCGTAAACAAATGCGCACCTCAAATTTGTAAAG